TTATTCAAGTCTTATGAATTACTTATTTCTAGAATTTTTCACTTAATAATTTTCTGGCTATAGTTGACTGTGAATAAGTGAAACTGCAGAAAACAAACCCACAGATAAGAGAGAATAGCTGTATTATCATTAAGAAGATCCACTATAGACAAACTGAGTTTCCGTCATATTTGACAGTAGAGGAAGCTACTCCTTGAATAATGAACTTAAACATCTTAAAATGATGCCTACTCTTTTAGATTAATAAGTATTTGTTTTAGCTATATGCTAGTTCCTATGTTGTTTTGGTTGGCATAATTCAGACTTCAATAAAACTGAATTTCTCTTGGCACAGTGACCACACCACATTTTGGAAACTCTAAAGAGGAACACACCAAGTTCCAATAAACTTATCCATGTCTTACTGTAAGTTTGTAGGACTTGGGAAAGAGAAGCACTAAGAAGAGTAGAGTTCCAAGTCATAATTAAGAGGGGTTTATTCTAGAAATCAAATGATCCATTATTTTAATAAAGAGTAAAATCACTTTTGCTTTAGTTTTTAAGAAAAAATAAATTTACCTAGCATCAAATATATTCTATTCATGAGATAATACTATCATCTGTAACTTTGTAAAAACTCAATAAATCTTAGCAATTAATATTGCTGTTGTTTTCATTTTTCAAAAAGAAGTCATTCTTGTAGGAAAGCAGATGTATTTTTATTTCTGTGCTATTTCTACTCTATTTCCTATCTATTTATTGCTTCTCTGGCTTTATCCAGTTTACCTAATTTTTCATTCAGATCATTCAGTAGTAAAATGGAATTAATAATACTTACTTATAGAAATATTATGAAAATTAGCAAAAATACAGGGAAAGTACCTAGCACAGTGCCCAGTTTATTAAGTTTTGGCAAAAAGTAGATATCCTGTTATAGTAACTATTATACAAAGTCTCTAGCTGCAAAGAAAACCTTGCATTTTAAAAGAGTTTTATGTAATTTACTGTCAGGTGTCAATGGTTACTATTGAGTGTTGTTATTATTTATCACAACCCAACCCTATCTTGACCCTAAAGAAGATATCAAGAAAGATTGCCTCAGTAGAGAGAGGCACAAAAACATTTCCTCAAGTGGAAAAGAAATATGTTACCTTTGGTAAAGTGCCTCAACATTCACAACTGTCCTATTTTTTCATTCTGAAGAACTTTCATTTTCCAAAGCTTTTAATGAATGTTATTGTGATCATAAAAGGCTTTATGAAGGTGATGTTTTATAAAAGAGAGAGGGCTGGATGGATTTGATAATGGAAGTCAGAACAGAGAGGGGAAAACACACATTTTTTCTTCTTTTCAAGCATACTAAAAATATATTAATAAGTAAAACCTAAATGATCCATGTGGCCTTAAAGAAATGCACAAAAATCTTAAACTGTCAAACTTATTAAATAAGTACACAATCCTGAGAAAATCATACCTGACTCACAGGGCAGGGGATAAGAGAAGTAACTTTTAAATCAATAGAATTTAAAGAAAACCAAGAAACCACTGTAAGTGGAAGTATACTCAAGATTAAAATAAGTATTAAATATGAATCTTCTATCTACTTAGGTACCAAAAACTGCCAGATGCTTTGACCAATATTTTACTATTATGAGAACACATTCTGACAATGAGCTAGAGCTGCTAAATGTAGTCCTGGTATATAGATATTCTAATTTTAATTATAATGAATATTATTTTATTTTATGAATATTAATTTGACATCTATCTCAGAAAACAAGCTGGAGCCAGGCACTGGTGACTCTCTTCTCTAATCCTTGCTACTTGGGAGGCTGAGATCAGCCTAAACAAATAGTTTTTGAGCCCTCATCTCTGAAACAAACAGAGCAAAAATAGACTGGAAATTATATAGGTATATGTCAAATGGTAAAGCACCAGCTTTGAAACTGTAAAGCCCTAAGTTCAAACCCGAGTCCCACAGGGGAAAAATAAACAATCTGGATATGGTGGTACACGCCTGTAATCTAAGGTAAGAGGATCATGGTTTGACAAGGCCAGGCTGAGCAAAAGCACGAGACCCTATTTGAAAAACAAGCTAAAGTAAAAAGATTTGGGGGTGTGGCTCCAGTGGTAGAATGCTTGTTTAGCGAGTGAAAAGGTCTGAGTTCAATCCCCAGCATCACACACACACACACACACACACACACACACACACAAAGTTGTCACTAATGCAGCTCCAACAAACCCAGTTAAACAACTTTTTACCAAGAATCTGAACACAAACTTCCCAGAGTAACACTAAAACATAATCAGTTAATAATAAGCAATATAAAAGAGGAAAAAATCTGATTTATGTTCTCAAAAAAGCACTCAGTGTTATTAAATGCATAAGGCTCGTAAAATAACACACCATACTATAATTAGGTTCCTGAAAGTTCAGTGAAAAGAGTAAATGTAATCACAGAGGAGATGCTAGCAATTACTATTGTTTTAACTACAAAAAATTGGAGGATATAGGACTTATAAGGAGGCTTAAAGACAGAAGATGAGTAAGTGCCCATACATAGTTAGTATGGAGGTAGAGACATAACTGAAGAACGTTAGTTCACACTAATTGGAGTCAAGTAGGGACTGGGGGGTAAAAGTCCGTGAGTCAGGATAAGAGCAATGCTTTAGGAAAATTATCCCATTAGTACAGGAGGAACTTAAGGTACCTGTCAATTTTAACATAAACCTTTTCTATAACCCCAAATTTCAAGGTTATTTTAAGGTTTGGAGAAAATTCCCAGATTGTTGATTCAAGACGAACTAATTATGAAACCTGAGAAAAAAAATATATTTAAATAAATATAAATGCACTATTAGATAAATCTAAAATGTGAGATAAGATGTGATAAGCAAACATCAGTTTACCAAATATGTACTCTTCCAGGCACTATGGTAGCTACACAGTATAAATTGCCTCTTATGCTACAACATTGTTTCAATACAATGCTGATAGCAATAACAGTGAACTGTCAAATAGTCAACCTTTGACTAACAATTTTGTGTGGTCAACCTAATGTATGCCAGTAATGCATGTAAATTCTACACATACTGTGTCTTATTTAATCCTCTCAGAAGTCCTACCATATTGTTTTACAGCTGAAAGAAAGTAAAGACCAAAGGCCTTGTTCAGTTACCTGGAAAATAAGTAGTTAAAAATATTTGATCATCTTTATTCCTCAGCTCTTCTATTTCTAATAACATTATTCAAAATCCAGTTGCAAAAGTTAAACAAATCATTTTAGAATATATATGTATATATTTACATTTGTGTTTATGAAAATCCACATTCATTTTTGTGTGTATGTTTATCACATTCTGTCATCCACTACTCTCTTAGTACACATAGACGCCTGACATCCTTTCTTCTGGCAATATTTTCCTTTGAAGTCCTCCTAAATTTTATGAGAATTTTTCACTCTCTACAGGTTCTGTTATGGATATTTATAGTCTATTAAAGAATAGACCCTTCTTAGCACTTGTTCAGTCAGGACCACAAAATTTATAGGCAAAGATTTATGACGACAAAAAATGTTCACAATGCAATTCAGCAGCCAATTCATCTTTTGACCTTAATAATTGTTGGTTTCTGAGTTTTGATTATCTACCAAAGAAATAATGCTATTGTTTCAACCTGATGCAATAAATACTTACATATTGCTAGATTCAATTCAGTAGCAGAGGCAAGTGAGTTATTAAAGAAATCAGTACCTGAAAAAAGTTGTTTAAAGAACACCCCATATTCTAATTGTCTGTGTTATAGTGCTTGTGCAACACTTGTGGCTGTAATTTACTATGGGCAATTAATTACACACCATCTAACTAGCTGGTAAATGCTCAGATTAAGCAATTTAAGTATTTAATAGTCAATTTCTATTTCTAGACTTAATGGGCTTTAAATAACTTTAAAAACAATCATGTTTGACAGACATTTTTCATGAAATGAAAGCTTTGAGTATCAAGTATTTCACTATTTTCAAAAGATGAAACATAAAGTTGTATATTAATGTAAAGAACGAAGAACTTTTCTTCTACAATTTTTTTCATATGACTTTTGCAAGTTTGACTAAATAGATTATTGACTCCATGAAATACGTAGATTAGTCTGACAAAGTTATATGAGGCAGAATGTGTTTTTTTATGGAACTAAGTTCATAAAAGATAAAATGATATCATTGCAATAAATAAGCACTTCCTAGACCTGTGGGTGTGTTTCATATGGTAGATCACCTGCCCAGAAAGCATGAGTTCAAATCCCAGGACTGCCAACATCAACAAACAAAAAGAATATTTTCTTATTTACAATGGAATAAAATCAATTTGAAATGAAAGAAAATAAAGGAACAATCTGTGAAATTCTATGAATGTTCTCTCAAAAAGTTAATGTCACAAAGATAGGACACAGAACAATTCTTTGTGAAGGAATGAAATTGAGACTCCGTAAGTTATTCCACTGGAATAAAAGCTTTGAACTTAATGATCTGGAATATTCACTTAAAACTGTAAGATTTTAGAATAGATACAGTTTTGAAACAAGAGTGTTAATGAATGAGTAATGTGGTGATCCATAGCACAAAGACATTGGAAACTAATTTTAGAAATATTCACAGCAGGTTGATGAGATTAAACATTTTATGGAAAAAATATATTGATGTCTCCAAATTACATGCAATAAAATTTGAACAGCTGGTTCTCTTTTATTGGTTTCCTTGCAAAAAAAAAAGATTATTTCCACCGGGTAATTACTGACTGATTTATTTCTTTATATCCCTTTGCTCACATTTTAATGTTTCTAAATACTTAGAAGAGGTCGTTCTTTGAAAGTAAATGTATTTGAAATGCTAAACTTACAATGTTAATCAATGCATGAAATTTTAATACTTTTTCAATCATTGGTTAAATATATATTACTTTCAGTTGTACCAGGACAATTTATAGAGTGTCACATTAAATAGAAACACTAAGATAATACATACCATGATAACTGAGTACAAAAAATCCACTTGTTGTGAAGTCACTGTGGAATTTGATGAGAATCTGATTTGAAGTGCTGTATACTGATTCCAGAGCGGTGTTGCCACTGAACTGACCAATCTGAGGTGCGTTTTGATCTGGTCCATCCCTATTAGACAGGAAGTAGGGAAGAAGGATAGATTGAAGTTCTACATAGATGATAAAATGTTGAGAAATTTTAAATGAAAATGATTCACAGTTTTATAAGTGAAATGCAACCCTATTCATTGTAATCAATCAGTACTCAGATTCTCTCAAATGTGTGTGCTTCATCCTCCTTTTTTTTCTTCAGCAACAATCTTGAGAATCATAGACTTTTACTATTAGAACTCATATGGTAGCTGTGTTGAACAAATTTTCAATGATTGCAATTCAAAGATTCTCTTTATATTTTTAAATTAAGATCCACTAATTGATAGATTAATAATAAAATTATACCATTTTATAAGACAGTATTATGATAGAAATTCAATAACTATATTAAATAATTATGATGTGAATGTTGATTATGAAATTTCCCTGGTTTTTGTACAAAGAGAACTTTCTTAAACTTATACTTTTGTCTCTTCAAGCATATTAATTTAATACTTTAAGATCTTTTTTTACCTGTGAAGCTTTTGTTCTGCAATACTTGGTTACTTTATGAGCAAATAAGCCAAAAATCTATTTCTCTTGCTTGTCTCATTTTGCAAAACACACACTGTCAGCCTCAGTTACTCACACCAATTCAAATATCATGTGAGAATTTGCAACACACAACGGTGATATAGTTTCCTTCCATCCTTGATTCTCTCCCATAATATAGTTGAATCAATCAAAACAATGGCCCTGGCTTACCATACGGTAATGAAATCATAGATTGGTTCTGTTTGAAGGACAGTAAAATTGATGTAGATTCCATTCCCAGGGGGAACTCTTACAAGCCAAAAGCAATCCTGAAAGTTTGGATATTCATCAGGATACCCAGGAGAATAAATGGTGCCATTCATTGCTGTTATATTCCCACCACAAAGAGCTGTGGAAAAAGTAACACAAAGATGATAAAAATAGGAAACTGTCAATAGAGGAAAAGGCAGCATGTCATTCTTCCTACCCAGTATAAAGTACATCTGTGTTTTCTTTTTACCTCAGTTAAGGGATATAAAATGAAGTTTGCAAAAAGTACAAAATATAGTCAATTTTTATTTGTTTTCCATAGGAAGTATGCTATGTTTTGTTATCATTATTGATTACAAGACTGGGAAGTCACATTGTTTCTCGTTCTCAAGTACTTTATATCAATATAATCATCACTTACTTTTGTTATCTCATATCATGTATACATGGAAGGCCTTCTAAGAGGTTAAGGCCTTTTCATTTACAACATTTTTTTTAAAGAAAAGGAACTTAAATTCAGTAACAGTTTATTTATTTGTAATAATGATCATTAAATACATACACACACACACACATACACACACACATACACACGAGAAGCTCTCAAGAGTTGTGAACTTTATTTTCACTCCCATGAGGAAGGTTTGGACTGCTGCCAATGATGACATTAGTTATTCATTATGGGACTTTAAGTCTTTTAATAATTCTTCAACTGAAAGAGAAACTGTACACGTGCCATTATATTTGAAGAAGACAAGGAAGCATGTCAAAACAAGAATTACCAAACAGAAATGATAACATCCAAAAGACAGCTAGCTTCAATTTAGAAGCATACCTTCACACCTGGGAAGTGGATGATTCCAATTTCGACTGACTCCATGAAGGCATGTGAGAGCTGAGTTTCCAATTAATGTATATCCTGGGAAACACTCAAATGAAATAGTCTGACCCACAGTAAAGTCACTGCCAATTACAAAACCATTTCTAAACGGGCGTGGATCAGGACAGCTTTGTAATTGATAGGCTAGAAAAAAGGAAAAACAAAGATATCTTCTTTTCTGAATTTCGACAACCAGAATGATCATGATTTTAAACTTCCAAATAAACATTATGCTGCCCATAGTTAGTTATAAAAAGCAATTCTGATTTATGATAACTGCTATTAATATCAGTGTGAAATGGATTTCTTTTCACGTGTACAATTTTCATACTTAAAATAATAGTACAATTCATAAAAATGCACCAGTACCTTCACCCATCTGTGCAATCTATCTAAATTATAAACCTGAATAGAAATGTAAACCCCTCTTGCTCTACAACTATAATCAGACATATTCTGATTCCCTAAAATGGAATGCAATCACTTCTTGGTTTGGTTGCATGTACATAGAATAAAATAAGTATGTGTATAAGATGAATTTAGAAATTCTGAAACTTTTTCAATTAATTTTTCTGTAATAAAATAAACACAATAAATCTCTGTTGAATTTATTCAAAAAGTCATTTAGTAAAGTGGTAGAGGAAAAAAATTCCTTTTCATAGAAAATAAGCTTTGGATTTCAATTATTGTGATAATTTTGGCACTGAAGTATAACTTTATTTGTTCATGCTTCTCTTTTATATAATCTATATGAGATCAGAGTTTCTGCTTATTTTATCATTATATCCTAAAGTTTTACACATTGCCTTTCATGTAGTAGATGCTTAATAAATATTGCTAGCTGAATTTTGAACTAACATAAATATTTAGAGCATTATTATTAATAAGTTCAAAATTATACTCTGATAAAAATTTAAATTTCTGGTAGAGACTATTTAGCTACTATATATTCCTCAAATAATAAATACACTTCAAGTTGAGTAAATTACCCATTTACTAAAATGTAATTTAAATTTTTACAACTATAGATTTTAGAATGAACAATATTTTTATAAAAATTAAGTGACTTTATTTTTACTTTGTCCCTTATTTTAATAAATATTTCACACACAAAAAATACCAAACTCAAGAGTTCTCACTCCAACAAAATACAAGTATGTATCATTTGATCATGAGGAGTTGGAATATAATAGTCTGTTATAAACTTTCAATTTTCACTCACATTTAAAAGACAATTTTCACCAAAGAAGAACTCTTTGACAAAATTGTGGTCTTGTGAAAATTAGTACAGTGTTCTATGTTTCTACTATTTTTAGTTAACTAAGGAAGTGTAGGAAAAAGATTTTAAGTGTTCAAAACTTCCCATCTTAACAGTATATATCACAAAGGACTTACAAAGACTAAAAATATTTCCAGTCATAATGATAAATTTGTAAACAGGTTTTTCAATAGAAGAGTATACTTAATTTTAAACTATGCATTATTCCAAAATTCAGAACATTATCTGAGATGCTGGGGTATTGTGCTATCCTAGGCCAGTGTTCTTCCACGGCCATATATCCCCTGCCCAGAAAATTCTTAACAAATTAATCAATTTATTTAAAATATCACTGATTCAATTATATCAATTAAATTAATATTTTCAAAATTCAACATGATTTATAAATGATGTCTAGTTATCATTGTAATACATTATGACTGGTCAATAAAATTAATATCTCAATAATATAAAGAAATTTTATGTCACTTATACTTTTATTATGTTACTGATGAATTATCAAGGATACATTAAGCCTTCAGTTTTCATCCTCTCACCTTGATATACAATGTGAAATCCTTGTTTATTTTGTGAATAGTCACTGTGAAAATACAAGCTGGTCTCATGGGTTGTGCTGAACAGAGAAGATGGTATTTGAGGACCACTAAGTCGACCAATGACAGTACTAGTTTCTGAGGATCCACTTCTCACTTCTAAGTAGTCATGTATAGTTTCTGTAGAAAAATTTACAAACTGGAGATGTACACCTGAAGAAGAAAAAGAAAAAATAATGACACTTTATTTTTCTTTTACCAAATAAAGCATACACGTACACAAATACACTCACACAGTCACATCAATATACTTAGATATATTTCCATTTAGGTCAGAGGCATAGCCTCAAGATCTGGGCCATGAGTTTGCTGTCTACCCATGACAGTTAGCTTTGCTAAGGTTCTTTAAAGAGATCTATTCATATCTCCTGAAATTTAAAGAACAAGTCTACTCTCATTTAACACTTCCTTGCATGCAATTAAAGACTCACATGATCTGAAAAAGCTATAAGATAGTATATTAGGGATATAAGGGTTAGGCAAATTTATTAAATGCAATGTATATAATGTAATGCATCCAAAATACAGGGAATTATAACATTACAAATAGAAAGGTATTATATCTATATGTGTACTTAAATCAAACAGAAATTTTGAACTACTTTACAAATGTAAGATCTGATTTATTTACAAATAAAATAGATGAATCAATAGATCACCAGAAAATAATTTATCTATGTGCTATTTCCTTATAGCAGTAAGAGAAGAGTTGCAAAAGTAATTACACACAAAATTTATGTATTTATGTCTAATAAATAAATTAGATATAAACTTATTTATATCTAATTCAGGCTATTTCTATATCTATCTATGTAGATAGGTAAATAAATAGGTAGATATCTGCTTTATATCCTAGCAATCTCACACCGAGAAACACAATGGAAATTAAATCAGTATGTTGAAAAGATGTCTACAACCCAATGTGCCCCTGAAGGATTATTTATAATAGTCAAGACATGGAATCAACATGAGTGTTTGTTAATGAATGAATGACTGAAGAAAATGTAATATCTATCTATCTATCTGTCTGTCTATATACAATAGAATATTATTCGGACTACAAAAAGGAAAGAAGTGCTCACACTTAAAACATGGTTGAACCTTGAGGATATTATGTTAAGTGAAATCATCCAGGTATGGAAAACAAATATCATATGATCTCACATTTATGTGAATCTTAAAAAGGTGAACTTTTATGAGCAGATTGTAGTTTGTGCTAACCAAGGGCTAAGGAAGGGGGATTAGGATATTCCAGTAAAAGTGTACAAATACCACTCTACAGGAAAATTAAGTTCATAAGATCTATCAGGCAACATGATGACTATAGTTATTAAAAATATACTATATTCTTGCAAATTGCTAAAAAAAATAGATTTCAAATGCTTCCACCACAAAAAATGGCATGTGAGGTAACATGTTAATTATATTAATTTAGCCATTCCAAATGTTACACATGATAAATATATATAATTTTATGTCAGTTGAATAAGAGAAAACAGAAGATTCATATACTTTCACTTATCCAAGTACTCCAGGTGAAATATATTTATCTCAAGCAATAACTATTCAAACTTCACTCCTCAAGTTACATAATTGTATGTTCTCCCAAAGAAATTTGATTTGTGAATATTTTATAGATTCTTGTTAGACATGGATATTTCTTTTTCAGGATGCATTAGTGAACATTGGAAGTTCTTTTGTGTGTTTAGAATATACATACCAAAGCCTATGGGCAGCTTTATTGACCATGTGCAGTCTAAACTGCTGGGGTAGTTTCCAGGAAAGCCAGGACTGAGGATCACACCACTGAAATCTGACATAGCACCACCACACTGAGCTGCAAGATAATAGAGGTCCCATGTAATCCAAAATTTCAGAATAGTGTGCTGTATTAAAAATGTATTACAATTTTTAAAATTTACATCAAATATCCAAGTTAAAACTGTTTCATAAAAACAACTGTAGTAATATTATTGGACATGGGTCACGTGCTAAGGGGAGAATGCACACAAGAGGAATAGGGAAAGGGAAAGAAACCTAAAACTTGAAAATGTTTGATGTGCTCACCATAGAGGAGCTAATCAAGTAATCTTAAATTGACAGAGGCCACTATGGGAAGATGATGAGGAAGTAGTGAAGAGGTCCAGTGGAGATGAAACAATTTGGGTTTCACTACACATGTGCATGGAAGCAATGCTAAGAATCTCTCTGTATAACTATCTTTATCACAAGCTAGCAAAATTGCTGTGTCTTTCTTATTATTGCTTATGTTTTTTCTTTAACAACAGGTTAAAGAACAGAACAGGTTCTGCCTGAAATTGAGGGGTGTGGGGAGGAAGGGAGAGGGGGATAGGGTCAGAGATGGCCCAAACAATGTATGCACATATGAATAAATGAATAAACAATTTTTAAAAGTTTGAATATTGTCAACTCATTCGCCACACACTAGTAATCAAATGCAATCAGTTAGCAATGCGTTTTCTAAAATAACATAAGTTATCATACTTCCTTCTTCAGAAATAAGTGCAAGATAAATCAATTATTAGGCAGCAAGTAACAACTCCTGTGTAATGAATACAATTGAATAAAGAGAATATGCCCTTTTCCACAGTGGGCAGTTTATTTCTCTTTCTCAACCACTTCTAATAATGTTTAAAATCATTTCAAATATAATAAAATTTAGACCAAACTACAGACAAACTCTTCAGCTCTGAGAACTGTATTCAAGAGTGAATCATTTTCACAATCTTCTTTTTCTTCTATTTTGTAAGATAGCTCAATAAAGATTTTTTTAAAAATTGCTTTTCATTGGTAATGTGTGAAGGATTTACATATCAACATATCACAAATAAGACATGGGCCTATTTTATCTTAAAAGAATCACGATGAAGAATAAGAATGTACAAACCAGCAAAGGCATGCACACATATTTGAAAGTTTAGACAGAATTTGCAAATGTGTTTGTTTGGGAATTCCTATTACATGAATTTACTCTTGATAACCTAGGTAAACATTACAAGAACAAATGTTATTCATATTACTTTTTAGCATTAGAGAAAATTACTTGAAACATATTGAAGATCATTTGCATTTTAGAAGCTTATTCTTTTCTCTATCTGCACATTTTTATATTTCCATAGAAAGAATATAAATGCATGTTTGTTAATCATTGGGTAAGAATCAAATTTCATGACTGGATGTCAAGTTCAAAAGTTGCCTCACAAACACTTTTAATTTTATTCATTCATGTCTCATTTTAACAGACAAATATTCCAACTTCAGGATTTATATATAATAACGACAAATTCAGTAGTTTTATCTATGTTTTTAACAATATACGATGACCTGTTTGACAGCTGTTTCTTACAATTTCTCAAACAGATTTTACTAGGGCGATACATATAATCTGGGGGTCAAATGTTTATAAGCTTTTCTTTAAAACTTTGATTACCATCAATCTCTGAAAATACACCTGCATACTTTCCTATCCTTTGAAATCTGAATTGCAACTTATTGAAACAAGTTGCAATATTAATTATTAGTGCTTACCAATCAACTCTTTAAAAATGTGATTGTTCACATATAATTAACTCAAACCTCATAATAAGTTGTAAGGAAAATAATTTTATCAATCAAGAATCTTTTAAAGTTTTCTAGACTGCTTTTGTATATTTGTTTTACTTTGTTCTGAATTTTGAGTGAAATAGACTATTTTTACTTTCTTGCCTTCACAAATCCAAACCTATCTTTGAGCTTTTTCATTGTCTTCTAATTCTTCTATTTTCCATCTCTTTGGGTATGACCTGAAAATCCTGTCCACTTCACTGCCTACTACCACCCCAATGAAACCTCAAAATCAGAGGAAGAAGAATGAAAGACAATTAAAAGTAAACACATAATGAAGAGGGAAGAAAAAGAATGACAAACCATGATAAATATTACAATTACAAAGGATTAAAAAAAATCCTCTCATCTGCCTTTGGCTTTTGGTTCATTTCTAGTTCTTTGGTGTCTCTGCAATCTCACTCACTTCTATTACTTGAATGAGATCCTGTGTGTTACTTGTGGCTTTCAAGTAAATTCTTGTGTGCTCCATTACACTCTTCTCATTGGGGACACCACTATATCTTAGTCCCCCCAATGGAAAATCAATTTCATTCTCCTTGCTTAGTCTCTAGTATATAAAATCTCATCTGAATTTTGTTTTCTTCCATCAAAATACCTGGCAGATTGCTTATTGTCCAGTTTATAAGTTCATAACCTTGTTACCTGATGACTAGAGTTTTAAGACATTTTTGAATCGGCCTCCTAGTTTCAGTATTTCCTTTCAATATGGTCATGGTTTTATTTCAAATATTTTAATTTTCTGTCAACTTAGTACACACTTATTATTAAAAATTTTGTACAATACAAAAAAGGCATAAAAAAGAAAGAAAACTGTTCTCAAAATCAACCAGCCATGGATCATTTGATTGCATTCTTTACTCTCTGCACAAATATACCTTTCTAGGTATGCATAATGAAAACAGGACCTTACAAATTATTTTAAGCTTTTTCTATATGTGACTATATATTGCAAACTTTGTCCTTGCCTTTAAATATCCATTTTCATGCTCATTTTCCTTTTCAAAAAGTCTATTTCCTATTATTGGACCCTTAAGTAATTGCTTAAATTTCACTTTAATAGCTCAACTCTGAGAGTCTTGTGTATTACAGGTTCAGTGCTAAAGAGTTCAGTCACATCCTACCTTTCAATCCTCACAATATGCCTGTGAGGCAAACATTGTTATCTCATTTAACAGATGAACAAACAGCTATTTTACCTTGAGCTGAAGCTGAATATAGTGATATTGAACATCAAAGTCTAATAAGTATTCATGTGATTTTAGAATGTAACCTATATAATAAAGCTTAAACTCTATAGGATAATTTATTAAGTATTACTTCCATCTAAAACCTTGCCTTGTTCATCATACACAATGAAAATGCATATTTATTAAGATGTGCTTTATGCCTTATCTAAAATATTAGAAAACTTGAAGAATAATAACTGCTATTTAGTTATATAACAGGCTGAGAATTATCATATAATACTGCAGTGACATTTAAGTTGGCACAAACTTCAGAAAGCAATTTGATAATAGTTAAAGCTTTTAAACAGTTATGTCCAGTGACATGATTAGTCTCCTTAGAGAAAATTCTAAGCAAACCATTAGGTGTGTAAAAAAGAATGTGAAAAATATTTATAAATGTGTTATTTACACAACACATTCAAATCAAAAGGACAAAAGGTAAAAAATAAAAAGAGAATTACCCACACAAATTTGAAACTGTTAGGCACCAGGAAAGCCACTTTAAAACCAAAATTTGAAAACAGGATAGAAAATTCTAACAATGTTAAGAAGGAAAATATTATAAAAACATATATGCTGCAGAATCAAAAATCTTTGTATTGGTTCATTATATAGTATTTGTTAGATTATATTTTCTTAGGTGCTGGTATATAACAATAAAACACCTAAAGTGTCTTCGATCAGTGGAATAAACATTATTTATTTTGTTCTTCATACTCATCAATCTTACCAATTTTTATACTCAGTTATGCACACTATGTGTACTTACACTGCATATTCACATTCTCAAGTGGCAGAATCTGTACATATAAATATTCACAGTAGGTATTATATGTATATATGCTTTTAAAATTGGCATTGTGCACATTTATAACTTACCTGTAATACCTAAAAGTATTTCCTTGAAAAAAATACCACCCATCCTAAATTCTGAGTGCTTTCTTATGCCTTTTGCTAATTTAACAAGTCTTTACTCTTATGTATAATTTTCCAATACTTTCCAACAAGAATTGTGTACACATATTATCCATAGATATTACAAAATAGTGTCCTCCAAAATTTATACATTGAAGCACTAACCCCTAATCTGTGTATATTTGTAAATAGGACTTTTAAGGAGGTAATTAAGGTTGAATCATTTCATAAGAGTGGGTCCTAATACCGTAAGACTGTTCCTATAAGAAGAGATAACATTATTATGCTTATGTCTTTTCTTCAACAAAATTAGAGATAAGGGCGGAACAGGTTCTGCCTAGAAGTGAAGGAGGTAGAAGGGGATGGGGGGGGCGGGGGGAGAAATGACCCAAACAATGTATGCACATGTGAATAAATGAATAATAATAATAAAAAAAAGAAGAGATAACAGGAATGTAAATGTAAGGAGAACAGACCATGTGAAGACACAGGGAGGAGATAAAACCAAAAGCCAACAAAAAATGCCCACAGAAGAAAACAGCATGCCAACAACTAATTTTTAGACTTCTAGCAGGCAGAACCATGAGAAAATTAGTTATGGCATTTGAGCAGATTAATATGACATTGGTTTGGCCACTTTACAGACGTAAAGTCATATAAGGTGTACAAATTCTTTGCTTGTGCTCAGCTTTCCTACCCAGAAAGGGCTGCCTTCTTCCATGGATCTTAATTATATTTTTATGTGTTTTTTTTTTTTTAATTCTTGTGCTGGGTGGGAGTACATTGTGGCATTTCTATGGGCTGACTATGTTTCCCAATGACCTCAATTTGCATCACTCTCACTATTCTCAAATTCTGTAATGCAGTCAATTGTATACTCTGTAGATCCAAATATATTAATAGTAGCATAATAATTTCAAAAATGAGGAAGAGAAAAATATTAAAGGATGGGTAGAAATTACTTGGACATAGCATTATTTAGGCCCAAACTTTCAAAGTATCCACGTTTCCTTTTTGACACATTGTGTATCCAGGTCATCTCTTCTACTGAAGGCATTTCATGGGGTAGATTAGCCAGTTTCCTTATCTACTCTGGCTCAACAGTAGATAGTGGGATATTTACTCATTTGTCTGTAGTTCTAATAGTTCTATCATGTCATACTGAGAAAATGTCATATGCTAATAATATGTAAACACTAATACCTACTCACTGTCTGCAGTTTTAAGACATTCATTTATATTGATGTTTATGTTAAAAACATAAAAGGTTAAAATAAAAAAGTACAATATATGTATCAAAATAACATTTACACAAAACCTGGAAAAAGGCATACTGTATGTTTAAACATGATGTCCAGGGTGTATCTTTAATATTTGACAAAGCTGATAAATTATTTATAGTCTTTTAACTTACCCAAACAAATTGGGATTGGATAATTCCATCTTCGTACAGGTCCAGGCATACATGTAATGTGAGAATGACCCTACATGAACAGAACAATGTGATCACTACACACTAAAAAAGTTTAAATTAACTGTAGCATATTGAAAGATTAATGTTAAAATAAGCTTAAATATATATGTGTCACTTTTACTTTTTATTTTTTTGATGGTGCTAGGTTTTGAACTTAAGGCTTCATGATTGGTAGGCAGGTGTTCTAACACTTGATTCACACCTCTAGTACTATTTGCTTTGATTATTTTAGAGATAGGGTCCTTCTTTTTTGCTCAGGCTGACCTGGATCACAATCTTATTTCAACCTTCCAGGCATAGCCACCATGCTTAGAGTATCCATGAAGATGACGTCTCACAAATTTTTTTTTGCCCAAGCTGCAGGGTCTTGTTAGAAAGCAGTAACACTTCACATATTAGAATTGTGGTTTTAATATTTTTCTATCAAAAGATGCTCTAAGTTACTGCAATGATTATACAAGCGAAAGGGCTGTATACATAGTAGTTTGTAATAAAATGGTATAATATTCAAGGTGAGTAGGTTAAAGAACTATAAAATTCTCTTATAAAAATACTAAAACAGTTCAAAGTATATAAATTTTATATTAAAATCTAAAAAATTCTGATTGAACTTCTGAGAGCAATAATTTGTAACACAACCTTGAACACTATAAATTATTTTTAATTTTTCTTTCTCTAGGGAATTTATTTACTTAATATGTGAAATAGTTTCTCTTCTTTTTAAAAGTAATTTCTTATTGAGCCTATTGTTAGGGAGATTTTTTATGAGAGTCTCCCGAAAACCACCGAAAGTAGAATAGTAGTGACACATATTAAAAATGGCAAATCTACTTCAATAGCAAAATATATGTTAATAGATTTGCACTAATTTAGAAAATTTGTTATTGTGGAACTTTCATTCAATGCTTTATGTAGCACTTCATTTTCAAATTCTAAATATTTAGGAGCTTAATTATCACAATCCTATCTGAATAATGAAAAAACTAAATTAAAGAGTAATTTTAATTCAAAATCATTTTTGATTACTTCCAAACAAGACAATTTTATTTTTCAGAATTTTTTCTCATGCATAATTTTGCTAATAAATTGAACATTCTTTAATTTGAAGCTAAACTAAGTAACCCAGAACCAAGATTTTAAAGCTTGTGGATTATCAAGCATTAATCAGTTAAAATATTCTGAAAAGACAATGAAAACAAAGACTATAGTTTTAAGCTTGACCTACCTGGAGAGAATAACCCTGATCACACTGGAAGGACACCACATCACCAACTGTGTATCTGTCTCCAAGTTTAATTCCGCTGCTAGGAGTTTGTGGCTCAGGACAAGAATCCAAACCAATTGCTATGAATATTTAATGAAAATAATCTAAGTAACTTTGAAATGGTAAATATTTATATCATGTATATTAAGTTACCAAACTAAATACTGATGTCATAGAGAAAAAGATTTCACATTGAGACAGAAATTTTAACTGCAACGGGCACTGGAATTTGTAATAATGTACATTGTTATAAAAACATACTCATAAGTATGAGTAGACTTAAATTCTTATTTTAAACTGTACTGAAAAGTAAATATACAAATTCCTGAGAGAAAGACAGAAATTCCTGAAGCAGAAAATTGTAAGAGAAAAGAAAAGGAATAATTTATTGTGATAATAAAATGGAATAAAACAGGAGTAATAGTGCATGCCTCTAGTTTTAGTTACTCAGAAGTCTCAGACAGGAAAATTGCTTGAGTGTATGAGTTTAAGGCCAGGCTGGACAACACAGCAGGACCCTATCTCAAACAAGCAAATATATAATAAAAAGAGCAAACAGAGAAGATTAGAAAACCTATTGTATTAAAAGGCAAAATTAATGAACAAAATTATTTGATTTTTCCAAAACAGTTTTCAAATATGCGACTGTTGTTGTTAAAACTTTTGTTGTCAATAAGAGCCACTGTTTAATGTTTACTACTTTGTAATTGACATTTTGAAGCTCATCTACTGCTGAGTTAAATTGGTTATAAAAAGAGGTAACCACTCCAAAATCATTCTATTACACATTACTTCATTAATAAAGCATTAAAAATTCAATTCTAGAGGATGACCAGGCCTTATGAACTTCTTCCCTCTTTCACCAAGTTATTTTTCTTTGATAGACAACCTCTATATTTCTTGACAATGCATAAATAGTTGTGCAGTTAGTTGTTCAATATTTATCTCCATTATATGAACAGAAGCTCTAGAAGGACAGTTTAGAGCATTGTGTCTAGAGGAGGCATTCAGGATACAGAAGAGTGGGAGTGAATTCCATTTTGATTATTTCTTAACAAACATAAATGTCTGATTCTGCAAATGGAAGCTATTCCATCTAATAACACACTAGCCAGAATAGCTTAAATTGTGCTACACTTAAGGACAGAAAATGACATAAAAGCAGTGAGTTGATAGAGTTATGATTAAATAAGAAAGTTAGGCAATAAAAAGCAGGAGCAAAGTGGTCAGCTGAGAACAGGTATGAGACATTCCTGAAGGAAGTCTGCAGACTGGAACTCCAGTGCCCAGTGCCTTGATTCACTAGACGCCAAACATCAAGTTTTGTACTTTCTAAGTTCTTTGAGTGGTCTTGTACTTATGGATCTAGAAATACCCAATTAACATTTTATAGTGGCCTACTTTTTAAGTTTTTTACGAGTTTACTTTTGCTTCCCAACTAGTTTTTGAGATCTGAGAACATAGACATCGTTTCACGTTTGCTTTATCACATGAATAGATCTCAAACATTAATCCATCTGATTTTTAGAGCCCCTTTCATGAACTACTGAATAAAAAAGTGAGTTATGATATAAATATACATATATATATATACATATATACATGTATGTATATATCTTGTCACTTTAATTTCAGCTCCTTTGGCATATTCTTGGTTTCTTGAGAGCCCTGAAAAGTCAATTTATTTCTCTTCACCATTAAGGTCATTCCTGTAGTCATCCTTACTGACAGCATCAAATTTTGTGCACATTCACTTCTCTTCCTTTTCTATCAAGTACCGCATCAAGGTCATCTATACAGAAATCTATACTATCTAGCAGTAGAGATTTCCTTCTCTGGGAGTAGGGGATAAGTAAAGTTATGTGGCATTGATGAAGTAGAATATTGAAACTCTTATCTTTAAGCAAAGTTTTTGTATAGTAGTTAGGAAAATGGTAAAATATTTGCAAAAGGGTTTTGACATTAAAAAATGTTACAGCTCTATAAACTTGGCAATAGCAATTTTTTTTTCATTTTTCTTTTATAATTCATATGTGCATACAAGGCTTGGTTCATTTCTCCCCACTGCCCCCACCCCCTCCCTTACCACCCACTCCACCCCCTCCCTCTCCCCCCCCTCAATACCCAGCAGAAACTATTTTGCCCTTATTTCTAATTTTGTTGTAGAGAGAGTATAAGCAATAATAGGAAGGAACAAGGGTTTTTGCTGGTTGAGATAAGGATAGCTATACAGGGCATTGACTCACATTGATTTCCTGTGTGTGGATGTTACCTTCTAGGTTAATTCTTTTTGATCTAACCTTTTCTCTAGTACCTGTTCCCCTTTTCCTATTGGCCTCAGTTGTTTTAAGGTACCTGCTTTAGTTTCTCTGCAGTTAAGGGCAACAAATGCTAGCTAGTTTTTTAGGTGTCTTACCTATCCTCACCCCTCCCTTGTGTGCTCTCGCTTTTATCATGTGCTCATAGTCCAATCCCCTTGTTGTGTTTGCCCTTGATCTAATGTCCACATATGAGGGAGAACATACGATTTTTGGTTTTTGGCCAGGCTAACCTCACTCAGAATGATGTTCTCCAATTCCATCCATTTACCAGCGAATGATAACATTTCGTTCTTCTTCATGGCTGCATAAAATTCCATTGTGTATAGATACCACATTTTCTTAATCCATTCGTCAGTGTGGGGCATCTTGGCTGTTTCCATAACTTGGCTATTGTGAATAGTGCCGCAATAAACATGGATGTGCAGGTGCCTCTGGAGTAACAGTCTTTTGGGTATATCCCCAAGAGTGGTATTGCTGGATCAAATGGTAGATCGATGTCCAGCTTTTTAAGTAGCCTCCAAATTTTTTTCCAGAGTGGTTGTACTAGTCTACATTCCCACCAACAGTGTAAGAGGGTTCCTTTTTCCCCGCATCCTCGCCAACACCTGTTGGTGGCGGTGTTGCTGATGATGGCTATTCTAACAGGGGTGAGGTGGAATCTTAGCGTGGTTTTAATTTGCATTTCCTTTATTGCTAGAGATGGTGAGCATTTTTTCATGTGTTTTTTGGCCATTTGAATTTCTTCTTTTGAGAAAGTTCTGTTTAGTTCACCTGCCCATTTCTTTATTGGTTCATTAGTTTTGGGAGAATTTAGTTTTTTAAGTTCCCTGTATATTCTGGTTATCAGTCCTTTGTCTGATGTGTAGCTGGCAAATATTTTCTCCCACTCTGTGGGTGTTCTCTTCAGTTTAGAGACCATTTCTTTTGATGAACAGAAGCTTTGTAGTTTTATGAGGTCCCATTTATCTATGCTATCTCTTAGTTGCTGTGCTGCTGGGGTTTCATTGAGAAATGGCAATAGCAATTTAAAGTTAAAAAATCCTAGGGGTTGGTGGAGTGGCTGAAGTGGTAGAGTACCTGCCTAGCAAGCATGAGGCCCTGAGTTCAAATCCCGGTACAATGAAAAAGAAAGAAAGATTGTTATATTCTCAGAGAAAAATAAACAAAAAGGAATATGCCACGTAATGGAGGTTAAATGATTATTGATGATTTGGTATGCACTTCCTTGTACTTTTTTGCACTTCCAAGTTTTCCATAATAACATGACTTATTTTTTACATAATAAATAATTTCTGTTAGATGAATTAATACTAGTTCTTTTTCTGGAAGACATTGAGTTGAACTGGTTAATCTGTGTTGAACACAATTATTTCCAGGAATAAACTAATAATGTAAGCAGATAAGGCAGAACAGGCATTTGATGATGACCTCCCTCATTTTGTCTTTTATGGAAGCCAAATTTTTTCTTGTGTGCACTAAAGAAAGATTGAAATATCTGAAAATCCTGCCATTCAAATTTTACAGTCCCTTTTTATGTATACGAATAAAACTTTGAGTGTTTAAATACTGACTTAAAATATCTACCTTCTTTAAGAATTAGTCTTCTATTTATTTGAGAAAATCAAGAGGGAGTATTTACAGGAATCATCAAGAGAAATAATTTGTGCAAAAATGTTTCACAGGACTCCCTTCTAGTTAACCAAAGCTAGTTTTTTGCTTGTTGATGGCAGTCAAAATATTGAGGCATTTTAAGCTCCATAAGTGTAAATAGTGTAAAATTGTTTCTCTGGCATTCAAAGACAATCTCTGGGTGAATCTTTTCTAATGGGATTGGATCAATTAATCTGCTGTTGTAGCCAAAACAAACAGAAATGGATCCAGATATAAATCCATACCAAAGACTGAAAAGTCATGTCACTGTAATGTCAAATTATTATAAGCTGTTATTCTGGCTGAATATATTACACTGTCATTCTTTTTCACATTACTAATAGTTATTTGTAACCAAAAAGCATTCTTTCTAGTTTTGTTCACAAGATAATCAATCATATGTTTTGATATTTAGATTTTCTGTGTATATATACTTTCTAGTATTTGATAATGATCTTGAATGAGTCTTTAAAGCATTAAGAGAGGGAGGCAGGGAGGAAGACAAAGATGCATTACTTATAACACTCCCAGTTACATTATATTGTTAAGGAAAACCTCACTCATAAATTTGACTTGTCAGCTTGTATATAAATTTATCAAACATGAAAATAAAAATATTGGTTTGTTACTATGTAAGAAAGAAACAGGAATCAGTCATGTGTCTTTGAACAAGGAGTTGTATTTAATGATAACAAAGATATTCTCAATATATCCATTCACCTTCAATTTTTTTCTCTAAATAATGGATACAAAATAATTAGTTTTCCATCTCTATGCTATTTTGAAGGCTTTTTATTTATATGTCAGAATTATAATTTCACGTACCCCATTTATCATTATAAAGACAACAGTTTGAGAAGAGTGTAGACATTTTTAATAATCAAAAGCTACACTCATTATGAGTAGTTCTACAAGTTGAAGTTTTGTATAAAAGCTACATATGTAGGCATGCAGACAATATTGTGCATCTCAGAATTAATCTACTAAATGAATATTTGTCAAGTGTCACATGACATGTAATTTGATGAGCGATTGTGGGTGAGTTTTTGGAAGGAATAATTTGACCTTTAAGTCACTGACAAGCAGCAGAGGTATGAAAACATGTGATG